TACTTAGAAGGGATTTGATGGTAAGAAAAACTCCTGAAAGGAGAATGTAGAAAACAGCCCTGTTTTAACCAAACCAGGACAACCTGTCACTGGGCGCCACTAAAAAGAGTCTGGCTCCATCCTCTTGACACCCACCCTTAATGTATTTATAAGCATTGGTCAGATCCCCTCTCAGTCTTCCCTGCTCCAGGCTGAACAGACCCAGGTCCCTCAGCCTTTCCTCATAAGCTTCAGTCCCATCATCATCTTTGTTGCCCTCCGCTGGACTTTCTCCAGCATTTCCTTGTCTTTCTTGAACTGGAGGGATCCCAGAACTAGGCACAGTACTCCAGATGTGGCCTCACCAGGGCAGAGTAGAGGGGGAAGATAACCTCCCTCACTCTGCTGCCCATGCTCTTCCTAATGTCTTGCATGCTGATGACTTCTCAGTGAGCTTTTCGTTGTGGCTTTGGCTTTTGATTTTTTTAGTCTTTTATTTCAAGGATCTCTTCGGTGTGGTACCTGCCAAGAAGCAACAGGAAAAACCCCCAGAAGGGAAAGCAAAGCAGTCGGAGCCACTCAAGAAAGCGTCCAGCATATTGTTCAGCAGCGATGAGGAGGTACTGAGGAGATAAAATTTGGTTGAAAGGGGTTACTGGGCTTTATGGTGGGCAAAGCACAAAACTGAGATGGGAACCAGAGTCAAACTCTGCTGTATCCACATGCCACATCTACCCCAATCCTGTGATTTGTTTGCAGTTGAGGAAGCTGTCTAATTCTTGGCCCAAGTTTACCTCAGGATCTAGGTAACTGAAGTCATGTGGAAGAGAAAAATCAGGATTTTCAATGTCATTTGTAGAAAAATTGATAGCAAATGGAGGTTGCTGCCAACAAATCTGGCTCAAAAATACTAAAAGGGAAAAATAAGTTTGCTCTTACTGCTTTAATTTCTGTAAGGAAAGTTTAGCAGTTCTAGATAGATATGTAGTGAGTTTTTCTTTGGTTTGGGTTTTTGGGGTGGGATTTTTTTTGTGCTTGGTGGGGTTTTTTTGTTTGCTTGGTTTTTGGTGAGGTTTTGTTGGTTTGTTGGGGTTTTTTTTTGGTTTTTGTTTGTTTTGGTTTTAATTTAGGAATGGGAACAATGAAACATATGTAACTAGCCTTCCCAGAGAGGCATTTAAAAGCCATAGACACTGAGTAAACTAAGAAGTTGTCTGGAAGGTCTCTGAATTAACTCACACAAATAGAATCCAGTCTCTTCTTAGCCCTCACACCCTCAAAATTACTTTTTTGTGTAGACTTGATTTTTATTACCTGTCCTGTAATTTCTTGTTTGCAGTTGTTTTGTTGTTAGTGGATACTAATAATATCTTTAGATGCATTTTTATCTTAATGTATGATAAACCAAGTTTATACTTCAGCATGCCTGTAGTCCTTTGAGAAAGGGCATGAACAGGGCAAACCACTTGAAACACTGGGAATAAGAAAACACACAAACCAGAAAACTCTCCCAACCCCAGAAATGTGTCTTTCTACTGTAAATTTTTGACTTGTTCAGTGGGTAGGCTTGGTTAAATGCTAGCTTGGGCAGGGAGGGGAAAGTACTGTGGTTGAAAGTTGAGGAAATAAGTGCGGCATCATGCACTCTAGTAATGAGGTGTCTTGGGTGTGGGTGTTGTGGTTTTTCTTGGTTTGTTTTGTTTTTTCCCTATATGTCAAACTTGCTAATTATTTAAGTAGCTCAAGTCAGGTTCTACTGGGTGACCTTACTCCTGTGACTGCAGTTGACATTGACCTCGGTTATCAAGAGCAGCTATAATAGTAAAGTGTGTGTACCCTGTTTTGCTGGGCAAATACCGTCTGTCAAAAGGTGGCCAGGCCCTCTGCAAAGCCTGAGCAATGTCAGATTACAGATGTGTGGCTAACACAAAGGCTAACACAAAGGCAGGAAAATAAACTAGTAGAGAGGTGCAAGGACTGCCAAGATGCTGAAGTGTTTCTGCTTATAGAGAAAATAGGAAAGTGGCTTTCACCAAGACAAAAGAAAACTTAAGGATTCCCTATTTTTAAGGAACATTGGAATGTGTCCAAGCCTGCTAAACTTCCTTCTGAAGATGACCAAAAAGAGGACCCTGCAAAACCAGCTAGCACTGTCAGTCAGGCTAAAGCTGTGAAGAAGATGAGCCTCTTTGAGGAACAGGATGAAGAGGATTTATTTGCAATCACTAAAGACAGGTAACAGCCCGGGTGGGAGTGGTGTGGGCACTTTTTCAGAACAGCCCAGCAGTGCCCTCAAAACTGGAAGAACCCAGGCATATTGCAAGTGTTGTCCCTTGCTACTGCTGCTGAGGAGGAAGTAGAGGTGTATGAGTGGGAATGGGCAGGGCTGGGCTCTTTTACCTCTTTTGTGTCTGTGGTGGATCATTCTTCTCGCTACCACTGAACTGGGCTCTCTATTTCCATGCCTGCAACATAAAATACTCTTGACCTCTTTTTATCTTCAGTTCTGCAGAAAGGTGTGCAGACGAGAAGGGAGGGTGGTAGAATTGTTGAGACAGTGAGGAAGCAGAGTCCTGTATCTGGGACCACTTTCTGTAAATGATGGTTCTAAGTGATACTTTTAAACAGGTGCCGGGCATGGCCTCTGAAACTTTTGCACTGAATCTTCCACTTTCTCCTCTCTCTCATTGCAGCCAAAGAAAGCCACAGAAAGTATCATTGTTGTTTGAAGATGATGCTATTAATGGAGAATCGCTCTTCAGCTCCCAATCAATGCTACTTCCTTCAGATGCTAAGGCTGCAGAGGTACCTTCCCTTTCTTTTAAAACTAACGTGGAAAACTTCATCTTTTTATAATTGTATCTTCTTTGTTAGATACTGAATGTAACTCTAAACTTGTTTTAGACAATCGTAGTTCTAGCAAACTGGGAATAGGAACAGGGCAGACTGAACTCTTAGATGTAAGACTTCTTACTACCATCAGCCTAATAGAGATTTCAAAATTTTCATGACCACTAACCCTAAATTTGTTTAGTTTATGCTGAAAGCCCTTTCTGAGGATGTTTTGAGAGCTCTCAACCATAAAATACCATTAGAAGAAACAAACGGCTTACTGCTGACTGTGAAGCTAGGGCTTCACCCTTTGTGTCACCTCCATCCAAGCTGATTCAGATGTGTTTACAGGCTTTTCAAGTGGCCCTCTGTTGAGGGTGCTTATGTTATCCTCTGTCTTAAGAGCTTAGCCCATATTGTACTGCTTGTCTGTGTTTTGGAATTGAGAGTAGGAGTTGCAAAAGCTTGACGCAGCTGTATCTGTAGTGGGAATTCCTGTATGTGTGTGTGCTGCTCCCCCCACCTCAGCTCCATTGTCTTTGCTTACCAGGAAAACAGTTATGTCGTGGCTCATAAAGATAATAGGCTTGAGAATACAAGAAGAAAGAGGCAAGCCACAGTCTAGCTGCTGGCAGTCACATGAAATGGTGCACCAACTGGACAAGTTTCCCAGGGCATCCACTCTAAGCTTGCAACTGCTTCCTGGCACTCTTCAACCAGACTCAAGAGCCTGTAAAACTAGAAATCAAAAGTTGCAAAGCAGAGTGTCCCGTGGGAAGAAAGTAGGAGAAGTCAAGCATGTTGCCAGTGTCCTAGACCCCTGCAGAAGGCAAACTGAGACTCTGCTATCCCACAGCAGTGTATGCTTCTTATACCCACCAATTTTGTGTCCCCAACATTCTTTTAATTTTGCAGGAGAAAATAAAACCAGCACAGGCACCGCCTTTCTTTACTGAAGAAGAAAAGGAGGAAAAAGAAGATCTGACAGATAGAGCAGCAAAGTCTAACCAGGTAGAAGATACATTGTGGTGTTTAGAAGAGCCTGGAGCAGTTCCTGCGCCTAGAGGAACAGATGTTGCAGGGCAGCAAACAGAGGAAAAAGTGAGGGATTTTCTTATGTTAATCTGAAGTTTGGTAAAGATTCAGTTAAAAACCAAAATCTAACAGTGCTGCTCTGGGACTGCTCTGGTAATTTGGAGAGAATAACTGTGTCTCCATTTAGCAAAACCATTTGTCAGTCAAACAGCAAATTGATTAAATGGCAGTTAAAAGTTGTTTCCCAACTGACGTACATGAGACAATTGTTTGGGGTTTTTTTTGGGGTGGGGGGAATCCATTTTGTTTTTACTCGGGAGTGGCTTAGGTAGTCTTTGTTGACGTGAAGAGCTTTCTTTTAAAAGATAGCCTAGACTAATGTGTAGGCTGTGCTTCAAGCTCAGTAACTTTGTTTCAACATACCTTCTGATGAGTTATAAATGGTGCTGGTAGCTGCAGCTTCCAGGATTGTGAATTTCTCCTGGGCAACACTGTTATAGAACAGTATTGATGTGTATTACTGAGTGTATTATTGAAGAAGTGTCAGCAGAACTTACTCTTGGGCATGGTCTTACTGAATGATTGCTGGGGAATTACCAGCTGATGAATTTCCGTAGTAGTTATCATGCTTTGCACTTTCCTGAGCACATTCAAGGTTCAGGTAGGGCTGCCCACTTCTAAGAATCCCAGGTTGCATGAACTAGGTTCCTCAGAGATAATGGCAAAGCTTCTTAATGCAACCTTGTGGCTTACATGCAACCTGACATACGGATGAGGAGGAGACCTTATGCAGGAAGCTGCTTATCAACAGCACTACAGTGTAGGGTACTGGAGGAAACTTGTGTTCCCTTCAGAGCCATAAAGTGTGTTCTCTGTCTACTGTCTCTTGCTAATCTGCATGTGGCTATTCTGTCTGCTTAGGAAAAATGAGTTGAATACAGTTGTCTGCTTGGTAATGGATTGCAGAACTCTGACCACTGCTGGCATTTAACCAAGAAAGCTTAGTGGTGTTTTGGGCAAAGCTGAACTAAGTAACACTCTGATGTCTAATTTAAAAAAATTTTTTTTTTTTTGGTGGAGCCTTCTGCAGCAACATCCTTACAGCCAGCCAGCAGTTCAGGTCTGTTTACAACATCACCACCAGCTCTGGAGAAAGATGTCAAGACCCAAGCTAAGAAAGTGTTAAGCTTGTTTGAGGAGGAGGAAGAGGAGAGACTGGACAATGACGATGGCATTAAAAATGCACAGACAGAAATTGTTGTGGTGAGTCTAGGGAACTTCTTCAACACTGGGAAACAGTATTTCTATCTCTGCTATTCTAGGCAGGGTTTTGTTTTAAACCTTCCCTCTCTTCATGTCATGAAGGCTAATCTTTCTCTGTTTCTAAATTTCCAGATTCTTGGGTGAGAAATTATTCGTGCTCTTCCTCATGATCCTGAATACCTTTGTAAACTTTTCCATTGCACTAACTCAAAAGCATTTTGCTGCATTCTAGTATGAAAAGAAATTTGACACAGATGTTTTGGTGCAGCTACTTGATGTCTGCTGTACAGAACTGATTCCCCAGTTACCCCTCAAGGTCAGAGGTACAGGAAGCAGAAGGATGTTGAAGCCCTGTTGTTTATCCCTTTATTTTCTTTATATTGTTGCAGTTTGCTTGGTAGATATATGCCTGCAAATTTAGCTTCATCAAGAATCATCTCAATTCTATGTTTACTTCTGGTTTTCTAGTATGTGTGTTCACTTTTTAAAAAGTCTCCAGTTGCAATATTCTTGCTGTCTGGCTTTCCTGAGGTAGGATATACCATTAAGAGGTAGACTTTGAATCTTCAGCAGTGATATCCTTTAATCTATGGCAAGGTTCTTGTTTCTACTTGATGCAGGTGTACCAAAATTTTTTTCTGTAAGCCTGAAGTCATGTCAAAAAGTACATATTGTATATTACAGTATACCACAAGGTTTTGTCATCTTAGTCTGACCATGTTAAGTTGTCAACCCTAAAGGCTATACACAGTTTATTGAGAAGTCCCTGGAACTGAATGAAATAGATATCTTTTGGAGAAAAGTCTCTGTTTATAGCTGCTTCTGAGTTAAAATGGATTGCTAGCTTGAACGCTTATTTACTTCTTGTGAATGTATCTTGTATTTGGGGTTGGGGGCGGGGGGGGCACATTGTTTGCAAGAAACCACATCTGTCCTATCAATCTTGGAAGATACAAATCCTTTCAAGTCACTGAGCTGTCAGCATGTAACAGTCACAAAGTGATTAAGGTGCTGAAATGCATATTCATGCAAAAATCAAAATAGATAATTTAGGAACTTAATCTTTTTGATAGGCAGGTCTGAAAGGTGCTACTATTTTTCTTGCTTATCTCAGCTTAATATGTGTTTCATGTGTGGATACTTCTAGATGTGCATTAGGTTTTCATGTATCTGGGCATAAACAGCAGTTCTAGTGCTCTAAAAATGTGACCTGGCTTTTGATATAAAATTAAAGCTGGTGCACAGAGTGGCTGAGGATGGAGCAGTAGTCAAATCGTAGGACAGGGTGTATAGACCAAAAATGGTGTACTGGAAATTAGCTTTAGTAGGCAGCCCTTTGGGGCTCCTGGAAACTTGGACTGGGAAGGGGAGAATTGGGCTTTATTCTTACGACTGCTGCTCCTGCTGCTTGAATTTTGAGTCTGATGTTATGCTACTGGACATTAAGTCATGCTTTTAAGAGCCATCCTTTCATTTGTGTATAGAATCATAGAATAGTTTTGGTTGGAAAACACCTTTAGGATCATCAAGTCCAACCGTTAACCTAACACTGCCAAGTCCACCACTAAACCATGTCCCTAAGCACCACATCTACACATCTTTTAAATACCTCCAGGGATGGCGACTCAGCCACTTCCCTGGGCAGCCTGTTCCAATGCTTGACAACCCTTTCAGCAAAGAATTTTTTCCTAATATCCAATCTAAACCTCACTTGGTGCAACTTGAGGCCATTTTATCTTGTCCTATCTCTTGTTACTTGGGAGAAGAGCCTGACACTCACCTCACTACAACCTCCTTCCAGATAGTTGTGGAGACTGATAAGGTCTCCCCTCAGCCTCCTTTTCTCCAGGCTAAATAGCCCCAATTCCCTCAGCTGCTCCTCATAAACATCAGTCCTGAAGAGATAGCTGGGTGGTGAAACATAAATACTGGCCTCTACCTAGATATTCAGTGGGGCCTTTGCCTTTTGAAAGTCAGACTTGGGTGGATACAGTGACCATGGTCATAGAGAGGCATTGTTTTTGGTGTCCAACCAGTTGATACTGGTTGGTTTGCCAGATAGTGGAGGGCTGATAAGGTGATATGTTTAACTGTCAGCATTCCCCCCTGCACCCCCCCACCCCCCCCCAGCACATCTGAAAGTAGAAGTTCTTGCCAAAGGCAGACAATGTGTTCTGTTCTTCATTGTGGGGGTGTTTGCTTTAATGGGAGGAGAACAGGGAATCTAGCAAAAATAATAGGCCTTCAACTTTGAGAGTTAGTTGTTTGTTTTATGTTATTCTTCTTTAAAAAGGCAGCTTAGGAAGATAATTAACCAGATTCTCTTCCTCTCACTTCTCTGTCCTGTACCCTTAGCTGAAAAATTCAAGGCATAAAAGTCTTACTGAAATATAAACCTTACTGTACACCCATGATAACATAGTGGAAACCTTTTTTTTTTTTTTTTTTTTTTTTTCCCTTCTAAGGAATACAGGTAAATAGTAGCAGCTGGATGTCAGGTCAGTGGGCACAGATACATTTTTGTTAATGTCTTCTCATCAAATTGAACTGTGAATACAAATATTTACATTGTAAGATTTGCAAATTTGTTCAGAGTAAAATATATAACTGGCAGTTAAAGTTGTATTTCTGTTACTACGATTGCAGTGTAGCCTCAGGTGAATTGTAACCTGCCTTACCACTAGGCAAATAACCTTCTTAAGGAGCGAGTTTCTCACTGCATGGAGCTTTCTCCTCTGCTTCCAGGCTTCTGAGAAAAGTACTCGGCCCAAAAGCACTGGAGTCTTTCAAGACGAAGAGCTCCTCTTCAGTCACAAACTTCAGAAGGACAATGATCCAGATGTTGACCTCTTTGCCAGCCCCAAAAAGTCGATCGTGAGTTCAAAGTCCTCCTCTGAACCTGCTATTTAAAAACAGTCTTTGAAGGGTGCAGCATACTGGTGTTCCTTGTTTGAATGCAGCTTAGAAGTCACTGATATCCAGGGAGGGACAAGTGCTAATATCAGTTCAGGCATCATGGGCTGAAGGAGATGTGCTTTTGATCTGTGACATGTCTTTTCTTTATCCTTTGTCTCTTTAGTCTGCGAACGATATCCTGAAGCCATCATCTGGAGGAGGGCTTTTTGAGGATGACGATGAGGATGATCTCTTCAGTACCACTAAAACAAACTTGCTGGTATCTGTTCCTCTACTGTAAATGGATTTTATAAAAGACATTGGAAAGAAGTGTATGGAAGGGATTTCTTCCAAATGTATTCCCACAAGAAATGAAATGACTTCTCAAATCTTTTTGAGAGAATAGAAATGGCCAATGTGACCCTGAAGACATAGGGAACAAACAGATGCATTAGGTCTCCCAGAGCTGGGATGAGAGGATTGGATTCTTTTTGTGTACCACTGGGACTGGCTTAGGTGTAAGAGAACACACCTAAGCAGAAATCAGAGTAGTAGAGTTTGTATTGTTTAATTGTTTTATTTTTTAACTTGCTAACTTTACTTCCTTGTAGTTTATGCATGACTGATAGCCTTGCTCTAAGACTTATGTAATGAAAGTCTCTGCAGGTTGGTTTGATTTAAGGTAATGAGTGTGGTATTAAAATCCTTGTGATCACTGGATTCTTCTTAGAGCGTAAGCAGCTGCAGTAATGAACTAGACTTGCATTACAGGTGGCCTGAGGTCAAAGTCCTAATGCATGCATTCTAAACTGCTACTCTAAATGTATTTAGCTTAATTAAATTGAAGCTGACTTTTACTTTAGTCTATTTTCATGTCTATAGCTGGAAGTTAGGCTAGAAAACTGGCAATAGTTCCTGGAAACAGTTTCTGAGGACTGTGGAAGGGGTGGTCTTAAGTAATTAGCGCTTGGCAGCTATATATGGAGCCTGTTTTCTTGAAAACTTAAAAACAGCAGTGTTCCAAGGCTAGCTCTGTGCTTCTATTTTCCCTGCTGTCCTGTGCATGAGGAAATATGTATGCATTTATTGAAACTGTCATTATTTATCATTAGCATAGACAGCAAAGGTTGAGGTAGGCTAAAGGAATGGAGGAGCGGAAGGCCCTTGTCGTTGCAGAGCCAAAAGGCAATGCTTATACATTGTACAGTCAAAAGATGTGGCTAGTTTTCTTTTCAGGTAGAAGCAGGATTTTAAAAAGTTTTGCTTGTTTATTTTTTTGATCTGCAGTCCATGCTTTTTATGCGATTCATGTTGACTTGTGCTCTTAATGCTTTCAGAAAATAGCTGAGAAGAAAACACTTAAGACCAGTACTGGCCCTTCCTTGGAGAGCAGTAACCTTCTAGAAAGTGCTTTAAGTGCCAAACAAGATGAAGCTTTGAAGGCAGTGTCTATGGAGGCAAGTACTTAAATCTTATGTCTTGAACAGCATGCGAAGAAAAAGGAGATGTATCATTTTGTTTTAAGTAAGTCTCTTGAAAAGATAAAAACTAATGCCTGGGTTCACTGTCTGCAAAGCAATGCATGGCCAAACTTGTCTCTGCTTATCAGCAGGTGCGCTGTTACTACCAAGAAGTTTAAATGCTATTGATACAAGTTTTATTCATTGCCCCATACTTACAAGGGCAAAGTACAAGGCAGTGAAAAGCTACACCTCAGGTCCAGTTGAATTGAAAATGGGTTGTTCATTATTCTCTGAAGTGCCAGTGTCTGTTGGACTGAATGTGATCTTTAAACTATAGGCAGGCTTTCTCAGAAAGGAGGTCAGGGCATGCAGCACAAATCTGTGGCTGTTGAGACTCTTATCTTGGAGATTTTATGATGAGCAAACAAGACTCCTACTCTTGTGATTAAGCTTGCAGAACCAAGGGTCTCTGGGACAGGCAGTCTGGATCTGAATTCTGGCTTGTGCCTCACCAGAGCTGCTTGTTGGATTTCCATCTGTAGGAGATTAGCTTCTCATTGTGGGGGGTGGGTGCTGGTTTTCCTCCCCTGGGCTGAGGAACACAGAGCAAGTCTGTAGGGCTAGTAATTAGCGTGTCGTCCCTTATGGTGAAGTATTCCTTGAAGTGTAGAACCACACTCATCTTCTTCCCTTTTTTGTAGCTACTGACAGCCTGGTATAGGAATGATTTCAGCCTATCTGAGGTTCAGCTGAACACCACATGCATTTAAGTGGAGAACAATTTCCTCAGACACTAGGATTCCTCTGTCATGCTATCAAGACCCCTAAAACAGTGTCCTAACCCTTGCAAACCCTCAGGTACCTCAGCCTGGCTGAAGGAGCTCTGACTGCCCAGTCACACCAACAGCAGCACAGCCTAGCTCACAGAACCATGGTAGACTACAAATTTGTGGAGAGAAAGCTCTGGGAAGAGCACCTTAGCTGATTTGATTCATCCCTAAATCCTAGAATTCACCCAAGTCTTCAGACCAAACAGCTGCTCTTGCTCTTTTAGTCTAGTCTTATTTCTGGCACTGATGGTCTGCTTTCTATAGAGGAGCACTTACTTCTATGAAGCTGTTTTCATTCCAGGCTGAAAGGTGCAATTTTGTAGCCCTCTTGGCTTCCATGTGGGCATCATTGAAGTCTGTGGCCCTCTTATAGCCGGTCAGGAAGAGAAAAGTTAGTTATATCATGATCTGGTGACATGGCTTCAGAGGGTCTTAGGGGAAGGAATAAGCAAGGAGGGAGGGTAGCTGTCAGAGTTTGATTTGACTGGTGGTGTGTGTGACCTGGAGAAGATGGAAGTTGTTGGGTTACTATGGCAAAGTATAATACTGGGTAGGAGGAGGGTGGAATGAAATGCGATAATGGAGATGGGGCTATGGCATGTGGGGAACTGAAGCTGAAAATTGAGTGACTGTAGTTCTGGTGCTAGAATGTGATGATAACAAGGTATCTGCAGAAGAAATTGGTAAGCAGTGATCTGCTTTCTATAGATATATTAAAATGCAAACTATGGTCTGATTGATAACAACTTGTCCACTTGTTTAATCCAGTGTAATTTTGTGCAGAAATCTACAGGTCCTGTTCCCATTAAAACTAAAGAGCCCTCATCTCGGATTGGAAAGCTACAAGTAATTAACTTTATTGGCATTTTGACTTTCAAATAAAAAATCTTCCTTGCCTCACTGATGGCTTTTCCTGAAACAAAATTTTTTTACTTCCTTACCTTACTCTTGCAATTTATTTTTTTTTTTCAGATGGTGTATTTTCTGTTACTTTTTCTGTATTGCATGTTTAATATTATTTCTCCCTCCTGTTTCAGACTCTGAGCAGCACTATTTACTCTATTTGGGGGGTAGAGGGTGGGCTCCTCTTTGACCTGCTATTCTTCTCAGCACTATTTTTAAGTATGTTTAGAGACTCTTAGAGGTATGTTCAGAGACTCTTAGGGGTTTGGGGTTTTGATTATGTCCCTATTCTGACATGAAATGACTAATAACTGTCTGTATCACAGTATCACTCTTAACCTCAGAACTATTGTTGTCCTCAAACAGGATACTGAGCTATATAGGTGTTTGGTCTGACATGATGTGTCCATGCTGTTCCTGAAGCTCTTATGGAGAGTGATAGTGTTGAGCACTCCACAGACTTAGTGAGACAGAGGACATGGGAGACACAGAAGTGTGTAGGTGTGAGAAAGACCAGGCCCTTGTAGAAGTAGAACTTGAATGCCTACATGCAATAGTTCTTACTGCTTCTCTGGAGCCATGCTTTCTCTTGAGCAGTACTAATATGATCTCTTTTTGTGTGTATGTTTTTGTTTTCTCTATTTTGTAGGCTAACTTAGCTATTAACCCTGCAGCCTTACTACCTGGTGCAATGCCTAAAGTCTCCAATGTAAGGTCCCCCTTACCAATTCTGGACACTTCATTGCATGAGCCCAAGGATGTACAGAACAGCGAAGCCTTCTGTGCTGCAGGAAACAATGAAGAACTGGGTGTAAGCTTTGATCAGCCTATGCAAGCGGATACCTTGCACAGTGCCAATAAGGTAACCTTGGTATTTAGGAGGATAGAAAAGGGGATTAAAAACACAGTCTGTCCTCAGGCAGGAATTTGTGTTTTGGTATGTAAGTTCTGCTAACGGTGTGGTCTATCTGAATCTTAATGGCGGTGTGGAAATCTGATCCCCGCTCACTTCCGCAGACCACTGAAGAGAAAGTCAAGCATACTAGATGCTTAGCTCTGTAAAGGGCTTATGCATATGCCTAATTCTGTGCCTTTTTAAGGTACATGTGTATGTTCCCCAAACACAGTGGTTTTAAAAAGTATCTTAGCATAACATCTTGTCCTGGCCTAGGAGACACCAACCTGAAAACCATAAAAAGGGCATCTCTCTAGGCTACCTATAAAATATGTTATAGACAGCTGCTGTAGCAAGATATCAAGAACACATCACTGCTGTAGGTTGACCTTTACCTCTGTGGATAAAAATGTCGTGTTGTCCTGAACTGTCACTCCCAATTCTTTTTCAAACAGAAACTTTCTTTTTAAAGAAAAAACGTACACAAAACCAAACCAAAAATAGTGTTACAGCTTTTGAAATGGCAGATCTCTGCCTCCTGACTCACTTGGTTTTTATTCATACCTTTTACTTTATGGACTGCAAAAGGCATATTCTATTTAAAGATTTAATGATTCTTTAAAAAAAAAAAAACACAACCTTGAACCATGAAGTTAAGATCTGGTCTGGATGCTTATGATTTTATAAATCTCTTGGGTTTCCTGACAGTAGTGATTGGAATAAGATAACTTAGGATATTAAATTTGATTCTTTCTTTCCTTAATGCTGCTGGGGCTGTTCATTACTAGATGAGCAGCAGAGATGACTTGGGAAGATGCAGCAGCTGTCACCACAATGTCTGACATGACCCCATAGTGTCACATGGGTTTGAAGCTTTTACATCAGACTAATATATAACCATGTAGGCATAGTTGTTTCCAATAGCAGCATGTCCTGCGCAACAGACAAACCCTCTATCATGATACTTTTGAATAGATAAGCTTGCAAAAGAGTAGAGCTCCTGTAGCTGCATATGGTCAACCTTGAATGTTCATTTTAGCATAATGGTGATGCATGCTTGTTTACAGAAGTAATCTGAGAAGCAGCAACTCAGTAACTATACAGAGAATGTTTTTTGTGGCTCAGGTTACATGTTTGAATTTTGGCATGTCATTGTTTCTTGAACCTTTCAAGTTTGAGTTTAAACTGTAAATATATGCAGCCAAATGTACTTTTTTCAAAAGGCTGGAACAAAGTAACCCACCCAGCATTCTGGCTGTCCTTTCAAAGAACAGTGCATGGAGCAGGGATCAGGTGTTTGGTTTTTGTTTTTTTTCAAGTGCATCTCCCTTCCATCATAATTTTCCTGTTTTTCAGCCATGCTCTGATCAATACAGCCCCACACTCTGAAGGCAGATGTGCTTCTACAATGATTCTGACAAAAGCACATGGCTCCTTTAAGCTGTGTTACAGCATATCCATCCAGATTGTACTTCTACTCCAACACAGCAATTAACAAAAGGGAAGAGGAGGTTGTACTGATCTGTTTCCTACCTGTGTGAATACTCTTGTCCATGTGGCATATGGTAGAGGATGTAAAGGAAACTTGCAGGGGGGCTTCTTTAAAAGCAGCAGAGGAATAAATTGCAGCAGGCTATGCATAAAACAAAATTAAATGGAAAACATAATTAGTCATGGCTTGGACAGACTAACTCCACCGCAGAAACCCTTGGATTAGCAAGCTGTCACACTCTGACTACAGTATTACCTAAAGCTGAGGGACTAGAGTGGCTTGCCGACCCGTGTTGTGACTCTCTACTTGCGAGTGCTGTTGCCTTTGTACCTCAATTCCACCTGCTGTGGAATGACCAGAGGTCAGCAAATCAAAAGTCCTGGGTTATTTTTCTGAACGTTGCTGCAAACTACTCCAAGCTTGAATGTCCCACTTGCCCATCTTTCCCCTTTCTGAAAAATGAGGAGAATGGATGATGCTGCACTGATGATGAATGGTTCCTGCTGTGTCTATCGATAACCTAAATCAGTGTCTGCTTAGCACTCCTTGCTCAAGATTCCCAACTGAGCATTTCTTTAAATGTGCGTGTAGCTCTTTCAGTTACTTAAACGACAGCTGTGAGCAGAACTTGTAGTTAAATCAGTTTCAGTGTGCTAGTATGAAATGGATAATGCATGTTAATTGCAGTGTTGTGAAGGTGAAAGTGCTACAAGGAAACGTAACAGGAATCCTAACCTGCCTTCTGTGAAGTGTGTTTTTTTTCCTTCTGTATAACCCTGCTCTGCTTTTACTCTTTTCTTGCAGACCAGGATCAAGGTTACAGGAAAACGAAGACCTCAGAGCAGAATGGCCCGTCGTCTAGCTGCCCAAGAGTCTGAAGAGAATGAGGAGGTGGACAGTGCTAAAGAATCACAATTTTCTCTACCAAAACAGACTTCAGTAGTAGTGAACATAAAGGAGCCTCTTGCTACTGAAGCAGAGTCCAAGGAAAATGGCTTTCTCTCTGGCTTGTCACTACCAGCTCACAGCAGTGTTTTGTCTGCTGGGACAAACAAACTCCTTCCTCCAGAATCCACAGACCAAGGGGATGATCTGTTTGAATCGGAAGACCTTTTTGCAAGCAGCTCAACATCCAGACCAGCTGCACAATCCAAGTTAAAGGTAGGGATGCCAGACAGTGTGGCTAACAAACCCATCAAGGGCAGAGAGAAAAAGCCTGATCTGTCTGTTCTGGGTGATCAGGACAGCAATGATCTCTTCCAGCCTGTAGAGCAAAAATCTTCAACAAAAAGCACCCCTATACCTTTTTTGGAGGAAGAGGAAGATTCTCTCTTCACTTGTCAGAAAACTGGAAAAAAGGAGTTGAAATCTGCTGTCTGGCAAGCTGTTGACCCTACTGTCCAAGATATCTTTGAGGTAATGGTTGAGCCTGCCACCTTGGCCTTTTTGATCCCCATGGCCTTACGCAGACCCTTCTACTTAGACACAGGTCTAATGGAGGCTGCTGAGTAGGATGGGGTGTGCAGGATAGGTAGTGAAGTAAACTGTCGATCATGCTCTGCTACTGGGCAATAGAAACCCTTTCTTTGGTTGTTAACCCCCTTATTAGCAAGAGTGGATCGAAAGGTGGCACCTTAACACAGAGCAGGCATGTCACTGAATGTACTGTGACAACATACCTGTGATTATGACCTTTTTCAGAATAATGAAGTATTCGGTTCTTATCTGTTAGCTGTCTGTTCAACGCACAGCAGCTCAAATAACTCTCTTAAAAAAGGAATGAAGTTGGCAGCCTGGGCAGCTGATACAAACATCTGTGTGCTATACTTGACCTGTGCACAATCCCATACTAAAGCACTTCTGCCAAGCCTTGCATGAGGAGAAGTGACAAACTTCTCGGGTTTGAGAAGCCCAAGGCTGTTAGTGTTTTAAACATCTCAGCTGCTGTGTACAGATAATTTGACTATTCTCTTGAAGTGTGTTGTGTATTGATGATCTCTCTGTGCTTTGCTCCAAGGATGATATATTTGCTACTGAGGCAATTAAACCAATGAACAAAGCAAAAGAGAAAATGCCAGAGACTAACCTGTTTGACGATAACATTGATATTTTTGCGGATCTCACCATAAAACCAAAAGAAAAGAAGACCAAGAAAAAGGCAGAACAAAAATCCATATTTGATGATGATATGGGTAAGTGTCTAATATCTTGCTGCTAATCTCATAATATTCTCCTGAGTTGCATTCATTGGAGATGTTTTAGAACATCTTGCTTTCTTTTACCTTTACAGCTGCTCTGAAATCTCTGGTCATCTTTGGATATTAACCTTGGATAAGAACTTCCTAGATTTGTAGAACTAGCATGGCATTTAAAATGGTTTAGGAGAGTGTATAAAATTCTTCTGAGAGAAGGAATAGTTTAATTCCTGTAGGGATTTTCTCACCTGTGGGAATTAGAAAACTTCTCTTCTCTGGAATAAGAACCTAATCTCATGTTGTTACGGCTCTGAGATATGTTCTCTGTTTCAATTTGCACAGCTCTTTGTATTGTGCTTCACTGATATGAAGAAATTAGCATCTCTTCCCACCCCACCTTCTCTATTGTGTTGACGACCTTGGAGCCCGTAAAATCTTGTTTACATCCATGTAAACCCAGAACAGTTTAAAAATACTACTCCTGAGAGCAAAAGTATGCCTTGTATAATTTGTTGAAAAAGCAGCATATAGTAATGTGAAATGATACAAAGCATGCTTCTTTCTTGTTCTCCATCAGTGGAGGTATCGAAAGTCATTTGATCCTTGACTGTGTCTGTCTGTTCTCAGACTCTTCGTGTTTATAGCTCTTCTTTCAGATTGCATTTATTTCTTTTCCCCTAAGATAAGAAATTCCCTTCTCCTCTAGCTTTGATTCTTGTCAGTCTTCATTCTTTCTAAGCTATTCAAATTGAATCTGACTTATCACTGTTTTGCTTGGACTGCTGTTAAGCATTCCGGCCTGATGGAATGACCTGGCTGAAGTCTGTAAATGTGTTAGAAAACTTGCCAGAGAATTAACATCTTGAGATTTCAAAACCTTCTCAATTGATTAAAAAAAAATAACTTAAATGTTTGTGGGCAAGGCATTTGAAATATGTATTGGATGATTAAAATATCTTATTTTAATCACATTTTTTCATGTAGCCTATAGCAAATGAAAGAATTTCCCAAACAGCTACCCCTTCCAATTTTTTCATTACAAAAATCCCAACCTCATGGTGAAAGAAACAGTTGTAGAGTGCCACTTTAAAGTATCTTGGAAAATTAGCCACAACAGAACCTGCTGTTTGCACTTCCACTTTTGACATCTACTCTGCTGCTAGAGCTTGTTGTTTGATGTCACAGCTGATCTTGATACCTATAGCATCTACAGCACCCTGTATCTGATAGACTTTGTCTTCCTCTAGAGTGTTGACTGTTTTGTGGTGCAGCCATAGGTATGCAGCTTCTTAGTGCCCAAAGCTATGGAGCTGCAGAACACCAACAGGAGTGTAGGAAAGATGCATGAAGGTGAGGATGCCCTGCTGGCAGTAGAGTAGTAGAACAGGCACTTGCCAATGCTTCAGGTTAAGGGTTGGCTTAAGTGATCATGGTGATGCTTTATAAGGGCTGTACATTGTTGTTTTAGGAGATCCTTTCTCCTGCAGATAAAATAGTAAGTGAGTGCAGTTTTGGGGGGAGGGGCGTGGGGTGTGGAGGCTGCAGGCTGCTTTGCTTTGTCCTACCACAGCTTCTAGTCACTATTTACTACATTTGTGTTAGGCTTGTTATGGCAGTATTAGAAAAACTCTTTCTCAGGTCTTTATCCTTCTAGCCTCCTCAGTCACCTATGGTTGATGATGCAAACATCTTCATGTTACCTCTGGCTGTCTGCAAAATGGTGACTGAGCTTTCTTGTGCATTGATAAATACTGTTTTCTATGGCCAAAACTTTCCTATTCCTTAGGCCTTGTTATAAAATGGGAGTGGTACCTCTACTGCTTGTGGCACTCACTGTACTTAGCTTCACAGCAGAAGGGAATCCATGTGATAGCTTCTTGCTTTGGAGTGATGCCAGTAGGGGATTACTCTCTTTTACTGCCTTTCTAAACTGCTCTTGTGCTGAAATGCTGTCCTGGATTATTCCTGTGTAATCCCTATGATCAGCACAGTAGCAGACATGTGCTGGAGTGGAAGAAGTACCGAGAAGAGAAAGGCAAGCACGTTGTGATAGGCCAGTTTGTGCTTGGCCTCTGCTCAAGGTTAGGATATGTGCTGAAGGCTGAAATATTAGTTTTCATACTCTGGACTAGTAAATGGCTAATAACCTCTGTGTAAGACCTGTGTTTTCTTAATTGGGATTCAAGACCAGTTATGTGCTACTTGTATTGGCCTTGTGAATCACTAGTGATCCACATATCTCAGTCTTGTAAAGTTGTGGTGGTTTTTTTTTTTATCCTCTCATAATCCAACTGCATAATCTGTGAATCCTAAATTTAAAACCTTACTGTATAGGAAAAGATATGCTGTTGTGTGTGCCCAGGAAACCTCAGGGCAACACTTCAGTATGTGTAGAGTAGCAGCTCTGTCTCTTTCCGTGAGCAGAGTCCTAAACACAAGCAGCAAGAGCCACAGCAAGAACTGCATGCAGGTCTGTGAGCTCTGCTGCTGGCACAGGGTATCCAGGTTGGAGGGTTTAATTTCTACTTGTTGTTATCCTTCAGGAGAGAACTCTGTCCTAATAGCAACAAGATATTTTTCCACTTTGTGGCCCTAGTTATTCATAACAGAAATGCTTGTTTTGAGGAAGATGGTGGGAGATCTTGATTCAAGACTGTAGACAGACTTTTTGAATATTCACCAGGATGACAGTTGTAGCTGTCTGCCTCCTTGCATCTTAGCTGTGCTCTGTTCTCCAGTGATTTATGCTGTGTTCTTATTGTGCTGTAGATTAAAGACTCTCATATGGCTAATGAATTTTGCAACAGTAGTCACTAGCAAGTACCTTCTTTTCCTCTTCTGTTTTTCTTTGGCAACAGCCTCACAGCTCTTGGATCTCTCAGGTTCCTCAGACGCTAATGTTCTAGATAAGAGGGATGTTATCTGGCACTTGCACGATGGAATTTATTGTGGAGGTTTAATTTATTAGTACTTCTCAAATGCTTATGAGAGCTTGAACATGTTATAACAAGTAGTATGGTGCTCTGCTGAGAAGAAAAAATATTGCTAATTTGACTTACAGCTTACAGCTCCCACGTATGTCCTTACGAATGCATCTAGAATCGCAAGCAGCAGGAAAGCATTTGTTTTATCACAGTGTGTCCTTGGCAGTCACTGCTGTGTGCTGGAGACTCTTATGTACAATGTTACTTCTGTTTGGCAGTCACTTCACATTAAATTTTTTTTTTTTTTCCTCCCCCCTTTTAGATGATATCTTCTCTAGCAGCCAAGTCAAGATACCCACTCCCAAAAGCAGATCTTCGCAAGCAGCCTCGGAAGCAAAATCTGAAAGCAAGACACTGAGCACATTTGATGACCCGCTGAATGCCTTTGGACGTCAGTAGCCAAGTGGAGTGTGTTGCAGAGAGGACACCTTCCTTATGCCCTGTCCAGTACTAATACTGTGGATTCTCTAATTCAGTAGAGCTGAAATGAGATTGCTGTGGATATTTAAATGAGATTACCCATTTAAAATGGTTAGTATTCTCTTGTGGTGAGTCTAATTGTGCTAAATGATATATTTTTAAAAAAAAGACAGTAACCTCCTGCTATCTTGTTTCTATGGTGCCCAGATGAATATAGCCTGTGCAATCCCTGCAATGAAGTAATCTATTATGCAAAGTATAGTTTGTTTTATTGAACAGATCTGTAGAGAAAATAATTGATAAATAGTAAATGGTGTCTGTTAAACCAGATCTGTCTGTATGTCTTACTTTCCTCTTTACTGCTTGCTAAGGACGTCTGCATCATGAGATGCAAACAACCAAAATCACTACCATGCCTTGTCTGGATCAGCTGCCAATCTACTGAGCTAGGGTAAGGCTGGTTTCTGTTATCAGGTACAGCTTCTCCTCTTATGTAATCAAGCAGTTAACAAATCTTAGTGCACGACTTGAAACTAGGTAGAGATAAGGTATTTCATATTGGCAGCTAGTGTAGTCTATAAAAATAGCAATGGTTAAAACTTCTCTGCCAGGAGGAGCGTTACAGATGAGCACCTAGCACTCCATGAAAACAACAGAAACCTAACATTGTCTTCTGTTCAAGTTGTAAGCCACTAAATGAGTTTTGTTTTTTTTTTTTTTTTTTTCTGCCTGGGTTTGCCAAAGTTTTGCAAATAACACTTTCCAAGAAGTCCGTCTGTACTGAGCATGCTTGGTCACTTCCAGGGTAACAAGCCTATGTGCATACCTTAGTGCAGAGACTCGCTTGTGCCCAAAGACTTGCTGTCTGCTTTCCTTTCTCATCTGTAACACATTGTACGCTCTTTACAGGAGGTTGCTATTTTGTGGAATCCCTTTAACTGTCAGATGCATTTGGTTTAACCTTCTTGCTTCCTGTATTTTCTAGATTGCCCTTCTGGAACTGATGCTATTAACCATACTTGATGCCCAATGGTAGACACTTGCTCTTCTGTATGCACACAAGCAGAGCAAATGCTAAATGCAGAAGGATCAAATGTTTCTCTTATTTTACCAGTGACTGCCTGCAATTTTGACTTTAAAACTAGATACACTGTTTTTATGATAGTGATGTACTACTTTATCTTCAACTCTTAAGACTGTTCTGCTCTCTGGGAATTTAAAGCCATGTGCTCAGAGGGCTTCTTTGAGAGCAATTCCCACTTTCACTGAAGCCCTTGTTCTGAGACATCTGCTTCAGTCTCTTGTTTCTCAAGTTGGGTTTACTTTATCAGGCACAGTAAATACTACAGCTGAAGCATCTAGCACTAATGAGGGTAAAGCAGAAGGAAAGGTTGGATGAGATAAAGGAGAAACATCATGTATTGATTTACGCCATAGATGGGCCTGGCAATGATTAATGTTAAGTAGGAGGGTAAGTTGGGAGTAGCAGCTTGGAAAAGAATGTGGGAGCTATTTGCAAATGGGTGTCTACAGTGAGAGCACTTGCACTTTATTTATAGGCATTACATCTGCTGCATATGCCTCATACATGATTTGCTTCTTTACTTCTTTCTTCTATGCTTAGAACAGCTTCAAAGAAATACTGGGGGAAAGAGGAAAAAGACGGTGAATTCTTCTGTTTCTTTTCTGCATCCTCCTTTCTTCTTGGCCCTTCACATTAATAACTTCTATTAGTATTGCAAAGAGTGCTGCTCACAAGCCAAGAATTCTGGGAGCCAAAAGCTGTTGAAGTAAAGAAAAAAAAGCTACTGCCTTAAAGTGTTTCTTAAACTTTAATGTGAAAGCTCAGTAGAGAAAAGCTCTTGATAGAAACTTGCACCATGACATAGATCAAAATCTCTCCTCCTCTCAGTCTTTCTAAACTGGCACAGGGAGACTATCCCCTATTAAAATGCCTGATCCTCAATTAATTTCCCCCTAACAGACTGTGAATCCTGGTCTTCCCTTTTTGAGAGAGCTTGCTGGGTCTGAGTGGTGGCTTTTTTAACTGAGTTTTGGTTTGGTGTGTCTTTTTTTGAAAATTTGATAAATCATGGCTGGATTTTCTGGGAAGGGGAGAGAGCTGGATGCCCAGTTACAGTGGCCAGGACTTGTTCAGTAAGGTCTTTGTCAGAGAGCTCCCATATCTGCAACGTGCATGTGAAAACCCACAGTATTTGTTCCGAGTGTTTTAACTGGGCCTGCTACCTAACAGCTAGAGTCAAGGTAAGTCTTGTGTAATTTAAAACCTAAATGGAAAGTAAAGCAGTTAATGTAATTAGCACCTCCTAATAAGCTAAGCTTGTTTTCTCTGGTATTTTGCTGGGAGACTGTGATAATCTGGAGACTGGCCTGACTGCTTTACGCTGAAGCAGACCAGAGTCAAATGCTGACCTCGAGTAAAGGTGCTGGAGAGCAGCGCCTGTCCTCCTGC